ACTAAATGTGGAAAGATGTGTGGGAGGAAGAATTTATGTTTTGACCTAGAGAATAGCAATGCAACATTTAGATGGAGTATAAAAGAATTTTCCCCAAAGTCCTTGTAGTTGATATAATAACTTTTTCCCCATTAGAAACTCTGAGAACCACTTTCTGGGACTGGATATTTTGGTTTGGGTTAGTTCCTCATTTTACTGAACTGTCCTGTAGGGGAAAAATTTCTGGCGTGGCTGGTCCTTATGTGGTTTACTAAGGCCTTTTAAAGTGGGAGTGACTTATGCATTTGTCCATTAGTCACACCTCTCCAGATCATCCCCTGTGCTCCCACCTCTTTCCCCACATGCATTCTCCCTCATATTGCAGGTTTATCTCCAACCTGAGATAACTATACTCCAACGTGATCCTCTGCCATGCTCTCTATTGAGTTCCGACTCTGACTTTCCCAAGTCCATCGACTATGGTATGCCATCATTCTCCTGGTACATAGATTTAAATCCCTTAGTCCTCCTTGTGTCTCATTTCCTATTCTCTCTGTGCTTTCCTCCACCCTACTTTATGTCTATAGGGCAATTCTGCCTGGGCTTTTAATTCTACCTAATGTCATTGACTCTGGCTACTAAACTTTCTTTTGCCGCTCTGCTCTTTTAGCTCTAACACATTGTTGGAAGGCCATCATTCTCTCTAGGACAGCCTTCTGATCTACCAAGGTCTTGGGTTTCAGATTTTACCAGTGTTAAGGATGTGGACCGACTTTCAGGAATGGAGGCTGACTCACCTGATAACTGACTTCTGATCTTCTCCTCCTTCCTTGCTAATTCAAATTTTATATATCCTTCTAGGTTCAACTTGGAATCTCCTTTTATACTATTTCTTTGATAACTCAAGTCTACAAATCTATTATAATTATAATAGTCAATACTGAGTAAGTTTAAGAAATGGGGTATGCCAATAAAAATAAGCCAGTGTTTTTCAATCTTTTTTATCTCACAGCACACTTGAACCTATAGTTAAACTTCTACAGAACACTTAAATTATACTATTGATCAAAGAAAAGAGCAAAGAAAAAGAATATACTTACTACACTTTGAACTTCTTTCAAAAGTAATTTAGTTAATGATGTTTAAAAATTTTTGTGGCACACCTAAAATCCTCTCATGGCACACTGGTTGAAAATTGGTGAAGTAATCAGACCTACAACAGGCAGTGAACTTAAGAGACACGTACATTTGAGAGTCTGCATTTTCTTTGCGTTAGGAGCACTGACTTGATTTGCACTTAGTTCCTTTCATGGGCCTTTATGGATCATATGGATATGGTATATGGATAATACCTTCTCCAAATATCTGCCTTTTTTATCTATGATCAGTACCAAAAGCACATTTAGAACATCTTCACCTTTCCCTTGCATATTATATAGGGCCAACACAACCCTGGGATAGGTCTTGTCTTGGTGTGGGGATGCTGGTTTCTGAGAAGTCACACATAGGGATATTAGTAAATACCTTTAGTACCAGCATATTGAGAGTAAGAACTGACACCTAAGGACACATGATGCCAATTTCCACAAGAGGAAGAAAAGAACACCAGCTTCCAGGACTTCAGAAATGTCAAAAGCGCTCCTGCTTCTTTTCTCTTGATAAAAATCCTGGGTGCTTACTATAAGATGAGGGCTATAATGATGAAAGGAACAGAGTGGTAAAGAAGGGCAACCATGGATAATTTTAGCCCACATAAACTTGAGCTCATCTTGAGCCATCATTCAGTTTTCCATGAGATAGCAGACATTGTAAGATCATCAATGTTTCTGAAGATTCATCAAACCAAGCTGTCTGGGATCCCCAATGGCTACTGCTACAAAGATAGAAGGTAACACTTGTTACCAGTATATAGATACTGTCTTATATGGTTAATATTTTCTTTTTTGTTTTATTCTCCTAGTTATCTGTGATACGTTTTATATTTCCATGTATCCTCCTTAATGTCTAAAGCTCAAGGACCTCCACATGGTATGTAATACTATATTAATTAACAAATTAAAATACCACAGACACATACCTTGGAAGTATATTTACTTAAGATATGCAAATCTGATCATCTAACAAACTTAAAACTTTCAAAGTTTCTTCCTAGTATCTTGATACACCTCTGATACAATTAACAGAGATTATTATTAATTATAGATGCAGTGTTTTTTATATTTCAGCATGCATATCATCTGAGTTTTATAGGGATCATTTAATTCTTCTGGAATATCAAGCATAGTGTGAAAATAAAAGAAGTGCTCCTTTTATTTGGAAAAAAACATTTAATATAGGTAGGGGTAACTGTCTTTTCTATGTACAAATAACTATTAATTACGGGCTTCTGCAAAAGGAAGATCACTAGAGAGAAAGAGTCTATTATAGCATGCCCTCATTTCTAGTTATTTCTGAGGGACAGCTAACAGTATGATTTGTTAATAGAGACCTGCCCCCATTAAGAACAGGAAAAGAGTTGACTTTTACAATTTGAGGGTCTCTGGATACTCAGAACTTGAAAATAGTCTCATATGAACATATTTGATGTACTCATTAATTATTTGATAAATTTTTTCATTGTAGCTTTGCCAATTATTTTGCTTTTATTATTTTTATTGGGATTAGTTATGTTCCATTTACACTTCTAAGAAGATTTAACTAACTGATACGTTTTAATGCCCATACTAAGCTTTGCCAACTGAAGCATCTGCTATTTTCCTTTTTCCTTTGTGATCATCATTTCTATCTAATCTATGTTGTGCAGATCTAGACTTGTGAGGCAGACCATCTCAGGCAAGAAGAGAAAGACTGTGGCAGAGAAAGAGATACAAAGAAAGCAGCACACATGGAGAAAAACAGGTGGCAGCTCTTCTGGAGGCTTGACTCCAAAGGACGGGGACACACAACAGGTTCAAAACATCCTTGGACTTTATATTGAGAAGCACTATGTTTTCCCGGAAAGTATAGCTCCAGCCTAGAGCTTGGGGAAACTGAGCTGTCGTCAAAATGATACTGTAGACATCAACTTAAGGAGGCTGTTTGATTATTGTAACTGAATTTGTGAATGCACTAACAGGGCTCACATTAAAGTGTCTGTTTTTTGCTTTTCTTCTATAGTGTTTCTCAAAGTGTGGTCCACAGAACTGGTGGGGTGTATGAAGGGAGAAACAGTGCTTAAGGTAAAAACTATTTTCATAGTGGAAATATTAACAGTTATAATAATACTGCATTGGCAAAACTGTTCGCAGGTTAGCACGGAATCAAGGCCATGGCACTAAGTTGTACTAGTATTCACTGTACTTTCTGCCACTACTCACTCGGTGTAAAAAATCACCAGTTTCAAATAAGAATGTCTTTGATGAATGGTAAAATGAATGAATAAATATAAATTTTATTAAATCTCAAATCCTGAGTAGACATCTTTTTAATCTTTGTTTATGACCAAGTGGAAGTGCAAGTGAAGCACTTCTATCATATTCTGAACTGTGACGTTTGTTTTGAGGAAAAGCACTGTTTGAGTATCAAGGTCAACTATTTACTTTTCTGTGGTGCTCTATTTTTTTTTGGGGATAAAGACTAACACACTGTGGCTGTTCGGACTTGGTTACTTGGCAGACACTTTCTCAGAAATGAGTGAAGTAGAACTGTCACATCAAGGGAAACTGACTGATGGCTGATGATAAAATTTGTACTATAAAGTGAAATTCAAATTCTGGAAAACTGAACCACCTTGTGAACTTGACAGATTCCTATTACAAAGCTTCTCTAATGAGAAGGGTGGTGATGTTAATGAAGTGAATTTTTGATATTGTATATTGAAATGGGCCAACCTTTGGAAGATGAGCATGACTGAAAATTTTCCCAGTGGTCAATGCATGCTATTATGAAGCATGCATGGTAAAACCCACTTAACGTGCAAGACAGACAGATGAATTTTAATATAACAGAGTATGAAAAGTTCATTGTTATAATTGCAGATTCCACATTAAAACTAATCCTTAATAAAGAAACCATTAGTTTCTTTTTAGAAACTTTTCAGCCTTTTAGTGTAGTACCAAAGAATAATATTGAGAAATATATTAAAAGTCAATTAAACATTCCTTCCATATCTAAATACACATCTCTGTGAAATCAGATTTTCTTCATATGCTTCATCCAAAACAACATATTTTAAGATTATGTTCAGAAATATTGAGCTAGATAAGAAAGGAATTTGCAAAACTATAAAACAATGCCACTGTTCTTACTAAAATTTATAAATAATTATTTTTCATAAAATATATAATGCATATGATATATGTAAAATATATGGTATACGAATATAAAATATATCAGCCAGGCATGGTAGAGTCCACCTGTAGTCCCAGCTACTCAGGAGGCTAGGTGGTAGGATGGATTGAACCTAGGAGGTTGAAGTTGCAGTGAGCTATTATTATGCCACTGCAGTCTAGGCTGGGCAACAGTCACACCCTATAAATTAAAAAAAAAAAAATGTATGTATATACACACAAATATATATTACAAAAAAATGAATTATGTAAATATTTTTAGAATCCCAAGTTATTTGTTATCAGATTATTTATCAATTAAATCAATTAATAAATATTGACAGAGATAATCCAAAATAAACCAAGCTCTTTGGGGTCCTCAATTTTAATAAATAATGGGTCCTGAGATCAAAAAGTTTGAGCACTCTTGCTTGGAAGCAGCATTTCTCAGTGTTTCTTCCCAAACATTAATCTCATGAAATAACTCATAATAAGAGGACTTCCATTCTAGAATTAGTTTGGAAACTCTGGAGAATCCTATCACCTGCCATTCTTGGAGAGCTGCAGTCTGCTAGAGGCCCAGAGGAGTAGCATGTTGGTTTTATCTTAATTCAGTGTTTCCTTATGTTATCTCAGGAAGTTTGTGAATCCAGGGCATGCTGGTTACTTGATTTTGGACAAATACTGGCACAGTGGAAATTTATCATGACTTACCTTCAAGCCGGACCACCAGGGGCACCTTGAGTTCTAGTTCCCGGCAGGCTTTGGTGATTCCATTGGCAATGATGGCACAGTTGACAATACCACCAAAAATATTGACAAGGATAGCTTCAACCTGAAATCAAAAACAGGAAGTTACCCATCAAAATGCTGATAGTCCATAGTCTCAAACATATCTGAGTTCCATAGCTCACACCTGCACTACTAGCACTTTGGGAAGCAGAAGTAGGAGGATGGCTACAGCCCGGAAGTTCAAGATCAGCCTGAGCAATAGTGATAGCCTGTCTCTACAAAAAATAAAAAAAATTAGCCAGATATGGTGGCATGTGCCTGTAATCCCAGCTATTCGAGAAGATGGGTAGGAGGATCATTTGAGCCCAGGAGCTAGAGATTGCAGTGAGATAAGATCACACCACTGCATATAGCCTATCTCAAAAAAAAAAAAAAAAAAAAAAAGAGGGAAAAAACCCTGGCTAAA